AAAAATGTTCTGGAACCTGTGTCCAAAAAACGGTCAGTGCTGTCCTCCGTGTTATCGTTGGACTTTACCTGATAATTCAACAACTTATTATTCAACAATTCTTATTTCAGTAAGCCTTTTGCCAGTTGAAATTGAATAAAATCTGGTACACTGAGTTACCTGATTGCACATAACAATGTGAATTCCCCAGACTAAATACACTGTTTCTATATCTCGTGATTCGAAACAAGCTTTCGCATAGCGACCGCCATCTCTGGAGTGGACTGGTTCCTTTGTGCCCTTCTAATCCACTGAAAACAGTGTATTTACGCAAGCCGTCTCCTATGCATAACTAAGCAGAAGCTTGCACCGAATCACGAGGTATAGCAACAGTGTCTTAAGAATGGAAAATTCAAATTGTTTGTTCACGTGAATTTAAAGAACTCATTGCACCAGACTAACTCGCAAAAGGCTAATTGTAACGTGTATCAATGGCTGTTCTCGCTACAACTGATCAGCTATTTCAAAACCCCTCTCCCGCGGCAGTCCGCCATTGCTTATAGCATAACACACCTGCCTGCTGACCGGTTGGAATCCTCGCCCAAGGCGTATTTCGAATTTACGAGGCAATCATCTCCCGCATAACCGCGGAAGATGTACTTGTAAATGTTTCTCTGGTGCCAAAACTTCCATCCTCTTGGACCTTGTTCACGAGCGAATTTTTCTGAGTGCCTTGCAGTTTGAAGGTAAGAAGGTAGAACTCAATCATTTACAAAAAAAAAACAGATTATTGGTATGATTAGTTAGTGACATAAAGAGTTCATGGTGCATTTTGGCAAAATTTACGTCACTGGCGGCGCATCTTCCGGCTTGCGTCATCGAGGAGACGCTCAAGAAAAGGTGATGTCATAGAATTCGAAACGCCGCCGAAGGCTGATATCAAAGTAATGAGACTATTCCAGGAATCTACCACAATGCTAGTTTCCGGATAGGCTATTCAGAAAACACTGTCGAGGTCGGTGTCTGCTATGTTTCACTTCGTCACTGTCCAATCTAACAATGGTGCTTCTAGTTTTGGTGGAGAGATAAATCAGCCGCCAATGTCAAGTCGACAGGTTTAACATGATTCGCGCTCGATTGAAATGTCAGACGGAAATGGAATGAGCCAATTCGGTATATCAAAAGAACAAGGACTTATGTACTCGAGCTCCATCCAACTTGAGTCGATACACAGTTTCTCTGATAACACAGACCTCCCCCGCGCGTGCGTACCAGTTCCAGGGCCAAATTTGTGGGGAGGCCAAACTTTCATTGAAAAAGTGGGGAAAAAATAAGCGTTTTTCTCATGTGACCTTTCAATAGCCTCTCTGGTGGGTGAGGTTGCATTTTTAGGCTTTTCTCACACTTTTTAAAGGGAAATGAAATGGACCAAAATTTTACTCCTCTCTTGACAACAACAGTTGGTTCTTTTTTTCCCGATCTGCCCTTATTTGGTATTGTTATTCTCGAATGACCTCTGACTTAATTATCTTTTTTTTTCAGTTTGCACATGCGATGTTGGAAATTGCGCTAACGGGTATCTACATGTACATGTAGATACGCGTGCCTGATTCGTTGCTTAAAGCAAAGTCTCTTCCTGGGTTGGCGTGCTCTTGACGTTACTTACTGCCTATGCGTAAAATACAATGGAATAGACCTCTTCACTAATAAATTCATAATTATGCACGCATGTGCACAAATGGCCTCGGCGGCAAGAAGTGTGAGCGGCCCATTGAAAATGTACAGGGATGCGACTTCGATTATCATTTCCTCTCAGGTTTCTGACTTTGTTTAGTTTTTCTCAAGAAGATTCCATTAAATCGTTTTGCTATTAGTTTCTAATTGAAGTGGAATTTTTTAGTGCTTTGTTAAAAGATTTGAAAATCGTAATTTTTCCTGTGCGCACAAGATCGTCGTTTCTTAGGTGTGGCCCCCTTCCAGCAGAAGTAGTATAAACTACATCGTTAGTGTTCTTGGAGTCAACCTGTGCGTTTTATAAACACACATACCGATGAACATGTACATGTACATACACGTACATGTACATAGCTTACCATTGAACTTGGTCATAGCTTGGAGTACTAGCGAAAGAAATGGTATCCAGTTGTGTTCGGGGTTATACAAGACAAAGTGCAGATTCCAAAGAGAAGGAGATCTGGTTCTTCAGATTTCCCAAGTGCAGAAAGCAGCGAATCGAATGGGTACAGTACCGGTACATGTACATTGAACCATGGAGGTACAGTGAGCATTAGTACGTGTTTTCACAAATGCAGAGGTTGGCTCCAAGAACTCTTACGATGTAATTTATACTAATTATCGTGGAAGGGGCCTCACTCGTGCGTACAGGAATAATTACGGTTTTAAAATCTTTTAACAGAGCTCTAAAAAATACCACTTAAATTAGAAACTAATAGCAAAAATGATTCAATTCGATTTTCTGAGGAAAAAACTTGACAAAGTAAGAAAAATTGATCATCGAAGTCGCAACCCTGTACAATAATTAATGGCCCGCTCACACTTCTTGTCGCCAAGGCCATTTGTGCGCATGCGTGCATAATTATGAATTATTAATGAAGAGGTCTATTGTCAGAACATGCTCTAAGGTAATGAGATCGAGCCCTGTTGACAAAGTGGATAGATTTGTGAGTTCCTGTGAAGTCCCGTTTGAGGAGGCCTTGGGTTTAGCTTTTAATTACTGTCGCAAAAGCATGTCTTTACTAATTTGGAATCAGAGTGGAAAAGAGTTTGTACTAATGACTTGAAATTTTTCATCGGGACAAGATCGGAGCGACTTCAAATAAGTCTCCACTATGCCAACCAGCAATACAGCTGATAATGAAGTGAATTTGGTTTAGTATTCACCCACTGCAGCCAAAAGAAGCATCATAAAGTTTTGTTGTATTGCTGTTGAAGTGCGTTGAACCCGTCGGCTGCTCGACCGGATAGGTTTGATCTATCACGAAGCAAAACCACGACGGCCTAGCCCCTTCTGAGGGGAAATGAAGTAGGGCGATTTCAGAACCGAATAAGGCATCAATACATCACCTACATTACCAGCATACAGAAGTCATTTCCACCTTTTTGTCCGGCATTCTGAACGCTTCTACCCCTCGCACAAGCCCCGAATCAAGCCAAGCGTTACGGCACGGTAAATTCCATCCCCCAATACTAGCGAGAAATAGGAGCGAGGGCCGTTGGACAGAAACACGGCGGTGATGTCCTTCATCAAACACCGCGAACAGATCTGAGTGCTCGCCAAAGGACAAGATGGTAAAAACTGTGACAGGAATTCGATAACACAAATCATTATTGTTTCTCAAATATCAAAAGAAAACCCAGCCAGGTTATAGTGTAGCTATCAAACGAAAGTACAAACGAATATCACCACTTTCAGAATACAAAATTTGTAGAGCTATAGAGATTAAACTTCTTCACCAACTTAAAAAAAATTTGAATGAAGAGTAAGAGAATTGAAAACCGTGAAATCAACACGCCAAGATTTTTTCCAGACAGGCATAATATCTGAGGATGATGTCACCGGGAGAGTGAATTTTTTTTTTTTTTTTGGTCTCCCGCAAATAATTTCCAGATAGGCCTGTATGCAAAAATATTCCAAATTGCGATCGATTCCTCGGTAATCGATCTTGAGGGAGATTTTATAACGATGCCGCCACAAAGCCCGCGGGGTGTCCATATAGCCTCGTGTGTATGTCTTGGTGGATTCTGACATCGAAAGGACGTTTGCGGACAATGGTTCCGCTATCATCAGGAGAAAAAAATTCCAATTAGTTCTCCAAGTTCGGTTGGTAGTGAACGTAACAAGATTTTTCTTAGATTTATGGCTCGCGTTCACCTTGGAATTTTATTCTCTCAAAGGGGGACATTGGAATCGTGTTTTTTTTTCAATAACTGACAATTAGACAAGAAGACTCTTTCTAGGCTACAAGAAAGAGCAGCCATGATTGTTGCCAATAACTTTGATTATATTAATTCTCATGGTATCATCAGAGCCCTTTCTTGGTAGACTTTTGAGCAAAGGAGGGACTTTTATTTAGCTTGTAATATGTATAAATGTGTTCACGGTTAAGCCCTGACAACTTTGTAATAATATTGAGATGTATTTTTGATAGCATGGATTTAACACTAGAAACGCTGATTCTCTTAAAGTTGTGGTCCCTACAGGCCTAACATGGAAAGTGTTAAGCAATTTTTCAACTATTCTGGGACTATTATGGAACAACTTACCAGCTGACGTCCAGAATGCATCCTCTTTTGATGGTTTTAAAATTATGTATAAGACGCTTTATTTTGATTAGTTTTTTTTTTACAGTTTTGTGCCCTTGTTGGCCAATTCTATTCTTACCATTTTTACCTTCTTAATTGTCCATTTTCTCTGTACTGCCCAGGACCAGGATGTGAAACAGCCTTTGAGCTGATTGTATGTCCTGTCTAAAGATTTTTAAATAACAATAAGAACAACAATAATTAGAATTTGAAGAAAGCACAACACAATTTCAACAGACTGAAACAGGCTTGTTTTGCGAATGACAATTGATTTGATTCAAAATATGTGACTCCTTAGGCAATCATTAATGAACTAGTCCACAAGAATGACTGCAAATCATTTTACATGTATATGAATCGAAATGAATTAGCTAAATGAGTTTTTTATGCTCTTATTTCTGAACACTTGTGTATAGGCTTAGTTTTCCATTTGGCAAAATTAGTGACAGTACTTTCGTTCGCAATAAATCACTGCTAATTTTTGCCGAAGTGAAAGGTCTTTTAATGCAGGAGATTGTGACGTGGTGCCAGGGGAATGAAACGTGTAAAAGTTGTATGCAAATTACGGTCAGCGTCATCCCCGTGTTAGCCTATGGAAATCCGGGATGATTCATGCGTCAACACTACAGAAAACATCTCAACCAATCAGGTCGGAGGGACCGCACGCGGGGACAGAGTGTTCCTGGGATGCGGCCCTTTGCATTTTTATTCTCGCCCGCTCTTTGCCGCGAATCAGCACCGATCCACGGCACTCCTGCACACGATACGCGTTGCTTTTTTGTGTAATTACGACACGAACTGATACTCCATCAGCGTCTGCCCCTCAAAAGGAGACTGGTTGTCTTTTGTGCGAGATTTGAAGCGCCTGGGGACGTGTCATTTCCCAACAAAAATAACCGAGGTGCCAATTTTTTTGTTTGCCGTTGCGCGCCACCTACAAAGGAAAGGAGCCACCCGTCACCGCATAAAAGGCGCGAACGAAGCCCGGGTCTCGTTCATTACACACTCCGATCACAGACCAGATTGGCCACTTCGCGAACAGTGATCGTCCGCTCTCGGTCTGTCTGACGAGTTGATCTTTCTCCCGATTCACTGCTCCCAAGAGATTTAGGGTTTTTTCTTAACCTCCGAGGCACAGGTAGACGACAGCTCACGGGAAAAATGACAGGAACAACTGCCACAAAAATGTGTGTGCTCTTAGCAACATTTGTGGTGCTTCTTGCCACGCTCACAGAAATGGCCAACACAATGGATTTGCCTTACTCAGAAGACGGTGAGTACAAACGCCCTTAACCATTCTCGTGAGATTGCCAGATCGCTATTTTCCATCATTTTTCGTTTAGTTATGCCAAAATGATTATTATAAGATAACCATTCAGACTCTTTGACGTTTTGTTCTGCTTTCCATTTCAAAGAACTTCTTGAAAATTATACAGAAGATCTTTCAAATGAAAAAGCAGAACAGAAGACTATTTCCTAAATACGAAAACGAGTGCCGACAATTATTGTCAAATGCTACGAAGCGAACCAATGATCATACCCGTTTCTTTGTACTTCCCCTTATGACTATGTAACATTGGACAAAAACCCTGATAGCATTGCAAACCGTATGATTGGTGTACATGAATTTTAAAAAGGAAGGGCCTAGCCCCCCCCCCCCCCCCGAACAGAAGAGAATGGGGACCAGGCGCGTTTCTCTTTAAGCATTGTCCTTAATCAACTGAGGGGCATATGTCCGGCCTGTGGGCGCAATGTTTTCATCCCGTAAAGCAAACAATTACGCCTAACCATGTAACAATGTGATGAGTAAAATGTAGTGAAATGAGTTTCTCAGGAACACAAGCCACGAGCATTGCTAGATCTACGCAAGCGCACATCATTTCACTGCAATCGGCACTGACACAGATTAACAAACGGTCGAGTGTGCGCTGCTAAAGCGAGAATGTCACGGCGTGAGTTGTACGCCACACAGGTTCCTTCAGTGCAAGACCCCGAGGCCCGATTTCACCGAGATGCTAAATAGTAAAATGTTGTTGAGCAAAATACACGTACCGAGAAGAAGTTCAGTGAGAACCAGCCACTAGAGATATACTTTATGATGATATTTGAATGGTGCCCTGGTTTTGCCAAGCAAACATTTTCTTTACGAGAAAAGAAACTAACTGGAAACGATAACTTCATTAGCTTCAAAGACCACACACTATAGTCTAGGCTACAATACACTGAAAGACCTCGATGTGAAAATAATGCATATTGACTTTTTTGCCAAATTTGTTAATTTAACACCCTCGTTATCACTCTGCTATACAAAATAATTCTTGATTTCTGTTTTGTGTGTAGAAAATCTTCCCTTCGGCGTGATGGAAAGACCCGGTGGATCACATGGGGCGTGGCAGAGGAGAACAGTTGACATACTATTGGAGGCTCTCACGTTGCTAAGAGAGGAAATGGACAAGCCCATGGGAGAAGACGCCCAGCAGGTAGTGAAGAAAGGTGAGACCACGCCCATGACTTGTATGTTCAAACTCACTGCAATTGCAGAAGCACTACCTTTCGAGTTCATAGTAAATGGCTTTATTTTGGTATCCGTATAATGACTGTCAACCGCCCACCGGATGATTCCTTCTCATGTTCTCGTCACGTCATGACTTTTCATTCAGTCCGTACTCAATCATCAGAGAAAACGTTGTATTAAAATGAGACACAAAATGAAGAGGCAATTTGAGGCATCGCAAGCGCCCGAGTGTTTTTACGTATCAAAATGCGGGGAAAAAAACACACAACGCTTTGATCGCTGTTCGAGCGTACTTTTGAATACGGGCGGTTTACAGTAGTGTGCCTCCATGAGTTTGCAACGCGTCGACCAATCACAATGCACGAAATCTGTCGACCCTTTCCAAAAGCGCACAGGGTCAACAGATTTCGCGCACAGTAATTGGCCAAAGCGTTGCAAACTCTTGGAGGCGCACTACAAAATCGCACGTATTGGGGGATATCTTTAATTTTGTAGCGTACTTCTCTGCATGCAATGAACATGTCTTGTGCAGATCACGTTTCAATAGTCCATTTTGTCGATATGCTCTGTGCGATGGGGTAAAATTTAAATGGCTAGCAATCAAAATATCTACTTTTTCACACCACTTAATATTTTAATGCACCAGTATAATATTCAGTCATTTCCAGAAATGATGGCATACAAGTGTGGCTTTTTTGAATGAGTAAAACGTCCATGTGGAAGCGAGATTTGAGAAAACAAATGCTTAAACGGTTATGGTATCTGGACAATAGGGAATAGTGCTGACATCACAGAACGAACCCTATCCTCAATGATAGTGTACTTGTTTTTGGAAATTTATATTACACCCCTATAATGCAGTTCTTTTTTTTTTCTTCTTCTTTCAAGCTGTAACCTAATGAACTAAGCTAAAAAAACAAACGTTTTGGTTAACATGCCGTTCGTATTTGGCATATTTGTCGTCGTTCTGATAGAAAAACACCGGAAACACTCGTCGCGCTCACAACTTGGCTCAGTCCGGTATTGAACATTGCATGCAACATATGTGCAGCACAATTATCTGAAACCTCCCGTTTCAGATCATTAAAATGAAAAAAAATTTGTACCACTAAAGACTCCGAGCCTTTCATCACTATTGGTTGCCGATTAAGTTACGTACTTTACGCTCATTGTAATGGCAAGCCCAAGGCGAAACCCGAGAGGAGAGGGATTAGATGGATATGTGCAAATGGAAATGGTTCTTACCTTTTGTGGGCATTTTACTTACAGAGTTTATCGCCGCAATGACGTTCACAGACTTGAAATGTTCAACAGATACGAACTTCATGGCGCCGAGTCCTTCTCTCGGCCATTTTTATGTCGAGAGTGCATCAGCTAAGCAAAGTCTTCTACGAATTCGATCAGCTATGCGCCGTCATACTAACGACATGACCAGGCAGTGCGAACGCGTCCCAAATTCGTTTGGGGACATTACTGGGCGTTGCGATTGGTATCTCGTGAACCATTCCGACGTCAAATTTGTTTGCTCCACGGCTCCGCACTTGGCATGCTTATACGATCACGATCGCCGAATGATACCCTGACATTATCCTTCTGCTTCGGCCTACGATGAGTCTGCCCCACCATTGTCACATAGTTGACAATTTGATTAAGAGCGTGTTTTCGTTTCACCCGACCCGCGTTCGGCAGAGGTCAAATTGCGCTGGGGGGCAGACACGTACAATTCTCCCGTAAACATTATCCCTTGCACTTAGGTCAGATTTTTTTCCCCCAATCGTCCCTTGTTCAAATTTTATTTCTTCAAGTTCTCACTGTGCACTTTATAATGTGCACAATGAAGAATGTCTATTACTGAGAAGTTAACGAGATTTTCCCCTGAAGCTCACTCTTTGAATTATTCTATTCATGAATCGACGGATCGGGTTATGTATCTGATCTGAACATCCCAACAAGGCACGTTCACACCGTTTTCTGTTTTGTCTTTTTTTGTTGTTGTTGTTTTTTTTTTTTGGGTGGTGGTGGCAAAGTTCTTTCTATTTGGCCCCTCCAGGGCGTGGGGGGGGGACTTCGTATTTGGCAAGGTAGATTTCTTTCTTACATCCAATAACTGCCGGCGAAGTCTCGGTTTGATAATTTCATCGAGTTCGTATACCGGTCGGGGCCCGGAAATAATGCGCGGGGTTATTTGGCACACACGCAGTTTGCTGCGTTTAACTCTACGTCTGCAAGGATACCTTTTTGTTTGAGGATCCTAAATTATGGAAGTAACCAGGTGTGAAGTGACTGGCTGTCCATTTCAAGATTTTCGGTCAGTTTTATAGAAAAGCTTTAATCTTGACGAAAAAACTATAAAGGTAGGGGATATTAACCATCTCAAAAAAAGTCATGCATAAGGTCTCGACAAGAATATAAGATTAAATCAGACCTGAAGAAGGTACTCAGTTACCGAAAGGTCGGCAATCATATATTTCCTGAAGAAGGTACTCAGTTGCGGAAAGCTCGGCAATCATATATTTCAGAGCACTGATGCATAGGGTCTATCCGGTTCGTAAGTGACTTCGTCACAAAGGCGGACGCGTCACGATTTGCATGTTCCCATTGGACGATCGCTGACGTTGTGCGTTAACTTCCGGTTCCATGGTTCCATGCATAACGACGATCAATGCATGTAACTCTATGTGCAGTGCATGTACAGTGGGCGTGGTTTAAACTGAAGTGACGTCACACTTACGAACAGGATATCGTATGTTGGAAGGTCCAATAATTCGACACTATGGATGGCATGATTAACACATCAACTTCAACTTTAGTCAAATATTTTTATAATATGAAATCGGTATTTTGTAGGACGCGTGCAAGACTTTTTTTTTATTTGGAATTTTTAGTCCAAAATAGAGAATCGGTGTTTTTTGTAATCGATGGTAAACAGAGTGCATATAGATGCATGATCGTGGTTTCGAGTTTCTCATTTTTCTACTTCTCTGGGATCAGTTTCACAGACCCAGCCAGCGTTGGTGCAATCCTGCCAGACTCGATGGCCACGCTTGAATCGATTATTCGATGTGCGATCCTAAATGATTCCGGTTTCGATTTACGAAGATGTAGTTTCAAACATAATGTAGTTCCAATAGTCATAATATTACAAAAAAATTATTAAAACGGATTAGCCGATCAACTCTGGCACCAGCTGGGATGTCTGAACGATTGGAGATAGCAGGGACGGAAATTACTGCAGAACCATTGTCTTTTTGGCGCCCTATATAAAAGTTGCAAGAAACATAATAGAAAGCTTCATCATAAGAGTAAAAAAGAAAAGTCTCAGTGTATGATAAGCCATTGCGAGTTAAATTTGAATAAAATCTGGTACACTGTGTTATCTGATTGCATAGAAACGCAACAATTTGAATTCCCCAGACTAAAGACACTGTTTCTATACCTCGTGATTTGGGGCAAGCTTTTGCATAGCGACCACCATCTCTGGAATGGACTGGTTCCTTTATGCCGTTCTTATCCATTGAGAACAGTGTATTGTTGCAAGGCGTCTCTTATGTAACTAAGCAAAAGCTTGCCCCGAATCATGAAGTATAGCAACAGTGGTTTTAGTATGGAGAATTCAAGTTGTTATGTTCACGTGAATTTAAAGACCTAAGTGTACAGGATTTTATTCAAATTTAACTTGCAAATGCTTATTGAAAGCCACTACTGCAAGTGCCCTAGACAAGTGTCTGGATGTGGTGTTGTCGCAGCAATGGCGTCTCCTCGTTTTACCGGGCTCCCATGTTGACGTAAGGAGACGCAGAGAGCATCGCCGATCAGTTTCAGACGCTACGCTCTCATGGAAACACTTTATCGCGACATGCAGACGCAAATAGGGACGGCGACAGTCGGCAGAGTTAAACCTGGTTCAACTTTGCCGACTGTCTGCGTTGAGTCGCCATATAAGTTGGCCTATACAAACACGCACGCTGGTATGACCGGCGGGCGGTGTTGCTCTCGCTTGGTATCACTCATTTAGCCCATTGCTATTGTTGTTACCAATTGTCAACTGAATAGCTGACCTTAGGCAAAAACATTAAACTTGGGTATCAGTTTGCCTTCAAGAGGCGGTAACACCACCTAAAATAGCATTTTATGCAAAAACTTTCTGATTTTCGGACGCCATATTGTTTACTCTTATGGATTGAATGGTTTTTATCTCCAGAATAAAATTAATTAGGAACCAACCGCACTCCAGGCGGTTTCCATCATAAGACAGTGTTCTATGGTAAGACGTCTATACGTCTTGCGTGCAGTTAGTGTTCGTTGCGACCATATACATATGGAAACGAGAATTTAGCGTTGTGTACCCCCCATTGGTGTTGTGTATAGGTTAAAGCAGACTTGAAGTGGGCCTTCGGCAGCTGTCACATTAACCAGATGGCACAACCCAACGGCTTGTGAGCCATTTTGCCTCGAGTCAAGTCACAGGCTACGTCATACCATTGTCATCTTTCATTCCCTTGTTACTCCAATACATGTGGTCTGATTTGCAGTTCGTTTCGTGTTTCCACTTGTGATTGATGAATTAACCACAGCTCTTTACTTTGATATCTGAAATAAACGACAGCATCGGGGTAGACTGTACATGTCAGTCTTTCTGGAAGAAGCTGCATCTTGATCAGTGATCCATCGTTGGTTCACTGACATCAGAAACCACCTAACGGATGGAGTGAATCGGTGTTGGGAGCTGATCGAGATCCAGCTCCGTGGAGTCTCACTATCCGGTTCGTAAGTGTGACGTCACTTCAGTTTAAACCACGCCCGCTGCACATACACTGCACATAGAGTTACATGCATTTATTGCCGTTTACATGGAACCAGGGAACCGGAAGTTAACGCACAACTTCAGCGATGGGAGCCTGCAAATCGTGGCGCGTCCGCCTTTGTGATGAAGTCACTTACGAACCGGATAGTCTTCCCTTCGTGCGGCAGTGAAGATGGTACAAACACGTGACGGCGTTAATGTTGGTACCGGTACTGATCAACTAACTTAATCACTCCGCCTGTAGACTTGTAATCGCGTTTGTTAATTGTTCTCTTCTTGCTGGTTTGTTTTTCGCCAGGAAACAGCCACTATCTGTTCTGGAGGACACCGGTGATTACCAGCAGATCACTTTCCGAGGAAAGCTCACGCAAACGCAGCAACTAAAGTACCGAGACAGTTCCGAAAGGCCCAAGTACAACGAGATAATTTTCTGTGATTTAAAAAAAATTCCTTTCCATACGGCGTCGTCTTGCTCTTGCATGTGAGCAAATTTTTTTTTTTTTTTTTTTTTTTGGGTAACCGGGCAGGATTTGTGTCGACGAGCAAATTGGTTAGATAAACGAGATAGTACCCAGAAGTGACCAAAATGGGGAAAGAACGTTTCGACAGTCGATGGCTGAAAACACACCGGTCCGTCTCACTTGTTCGTAGAGCAATAACGCGCCTGCAAAGAGCCCGTTTGTTTGCTGCCCTCAGGCGTCATTAAGCTTCCCAATGCAAGCCAGGAGCTCTTTGGCCCGATGGTCTTTTGGGGGTTTTTAAGCTAAAGGCCAAACTTTTCTACCTTTGCTCGTCGAAAACAATAATTGCTAAGTATGTCGTTGCAATTTTCATACATTTCACTTCCTGGGCGTAGCTGGAATACGCTTAGTTAAACATTCCCGCATGCAAATAAACTAATCTACAAAAATACATATACCGAAATTGAGATCTCCTCCTATTATTCTAATTTGTTGATTTTATTTAATACTCGACACCCTTAACATATTCTGGCTACACCTGTAGAGTCAAAACGTCTTATTCTATAAGGTTAAAATGTACGAGTTGCGTTTTTGTTTTCCTTTGTACACTTGACAACAGACGAAGGTAAACAATAAATTTGATGGAATTAATATTAGGTGTACTTTGTGAGTTGCCTTTTCCGTGGACATCCAAACCGAAGCCGTAGTGTTAGGAGCTGAACGTGACTTGAGTTGAAAAAGAGCTTCTGTGCTGCCAGCCCGTGCGGGCATCTTTCAAAACAAGCGATTGCATTTGGAAAACTTGGAAGACAAGCAAAACATGCTGTTGAGGATAGGGTCCCCGTGGGTCTCCATTCCCAATGCGTATACAAATATACCCTAGATTGTGTAATGCGTATATTAAGCTGAGAAGGCTTGTACTTGACTGGTACCCAGACGAATCGTGTTGGATGGCCCACTATTATAGGCAACGTAGTGGTTAGAGTGACCAACACAAAAGACCAACATGACAATGATTGACTTCGTGGGGAGTTTGTAGGATGTGCTAGACCTAGCCATAATAATAATGTTTTTAACTCCTTGTCTGAGGTTTATTAAGAGTTGCTTATTTTTTGTTGCTATTCTCCATCCCCGCAGACTTTCGTTTAGTATGTTCAGTCGTAGATTTTACAGTGTTACAGTGGTTAATAGAACAAAGCGCCCATGGTCGTGAGAGCGCACCTGGACAGCGAATTCCCGTTGCTACTAGTCTGTACATGCTGGAACTCATGACTTAATATGTCAAGTTACCAAATAAAAACCTGAAACTGTTTAGTACGTTGACGACCGACAGTTATTTGGTACCACTAAGCCAGGCCTTGCCACTCTATTAGATTTGATGTATAAAATCTTACTCCCTTAAATGCAAGTTTTCTCGCCCAAACATTAGCGTAGCAGTAATACTGTTCAAGATTATCTGTAACAACATTTGGGATTGAAGCAATTCAGTTTGTATTAAAAGGAAAAAGAAGCATATACTCCAACGAGCTGTATACTCGGCCATTGATTTCAAATTCAACTCTTCCCAAAATATACAGCCCAGCGGTCTGATCCACTGAAGCCTCGCCCGTTTAGCACTTGCGCACTGTAGTGTGGTCTCTAGTGTCACGCTACGTGTTCCTGTAGCGCGAATCTTACGCACGTGCACGCATGTCAGACTTTCTCTCTAAATTCCAAAGTGAACATTCACTCCATTCGAGTGAAAATTCAATCCCTCTTATTGAAATTAAGGACCAGACGAATTGGAGTAAAATTTCTTGACTCCAAGAGATTGAAATTTCATTCGAGGTTCCACTGGAAAGGATTATTTTCAGCCTTTTGCAGTCCAAATTCAGATGATTTTCACTCGAAAACATCTTGTCCCCAATTTCACTCTTTCCGATTTATAGAGTTTGTGCACGCATGTCAGACATACTGGAGATCACGGCTATGATGGGTCAGAAAACATTAACAATGTGAGAAAGCTCTGTGGATTGGACTTTTCCAACCACTATTACCCTTGAAATTCCCGTTTCTTAAATTCTCTCACAACATCGCAATCAGAGCACGTGCTAATACCAGAGACGATTGGGCCTATAATGTACATCCATAATAGATCCGAAAGAGTGAAACTGGGGACAAGACGATTTAGAGTTAAAAATCACTCTCAATTTAGATTGAAATATTCTGACCAAATAATCACGTCAGTCGGAGCTCGAGTTAAAACTCGATCTTTTCGATTCACGAAAGTCACTCTAAAACGTCTCTCCCTAGTTTTAGACTGCGGGAGTGAATTTTCACTCGAAAAGATTGAGTTTCACTCTTT